CTCTCTCGACGCACGTGAGATATTTTCGTCTGGTCGCGAACAGCTCGCGGAACACGCACTATCTTCCTCTTCTTCTTCTTCTTCTTCCTCTTCTTCTTCTTCTTCTTCTTACTCTTATAATTTTCTAACTATATTGTTTTTCTTCTTGAAATAATACCGATTCTCTGTAGTTAGAATTACGACAAATTACCAACTACTTTTCTTTCTTTCTTTCATTCTTCCTTGTTTGCTTTCTCTTATTTGCAATTTTTTATATATTATTCTAACGTTTTATGAAAGATCAATTATCTCTTTTTCTCTTTCTCTTTCTCTCTTTTTCTTTCTTTTCTTTGTGTGTGTGTTTCTCTCGAGATTCGTAAATCAATCTACGTATTATGGCACGAATGTAATCTTCACTTGCTTCCGTTAAAACATCCTAGCATTAAATACTTTTCTCTATCTATCTCTATCACTATCTTATATTTACTCTTATGAAATCTCATCTGAAATATGTATACGCGTATACATATGTATATATATATATATATATATCTATTTCTTATAATAAATTTCAAATATAATTTCTAACACTACGTGTACTCAATTTGTCATCTTTCACTTTTCGTCTCTTCTCTTTCTAACTTATTTTAACTTTGACGAAATCTCAACAATATCCATCTCTTTTTATGAAAATATAAATACATACATATATATATATATATATATATATATATTTCTACATTCCACCAATTTGTCATATTAAATTATTCATCAGATTTATCTATCTATCTATCTATCTATCTATCTATCTCTATCAATCAATCAATGTATCTATCTATCTAACTCTTTCTTTCTTAAGATTTTTTTTTCTTTTGGGTTAACCTATCGCGCATCAGTTACGTTGCGCGTCAGAAAAAAAGGAAGAAAGGAAGGAAAGAAGAAAGGAAGGAAGGAAAAGATCCGCCAGTTTTAATCTACTCGAAAGTGTATATAAGATATAAACGTATACGAATACTTACATGGATAGATAAATACATAGATAGATACGTAGGTATGTACCGTCACTCCATGATCGTGACAGCACGACGTGCATACGTGCGTGCATACGTGGTGCGTGTCATGCGTGTCTCCTTTCTAACCCGAAGCTCGAGAGTTGTTCCACCTCCTTCACCTCTCCACCACCGCCACCACCTCCACCACCACCTTTTCCAAGAGAGAGCACGTGTGCGTGTATGCACGTGCACTTGTGCGTATCTCTCTCTCTTTCTCTCTCTCTCTCTCTCTCTCTCTTTGTATAATTTTTTTCTTTTTTTATTATTATTATTATTATTATTTCTCCCACCCATTCTATCTCTCTATCTCTCTCCCCCTCCCATTTCTATTTCTCTTTCTCTCTTAACGAAGAACACTAGGAAAGAACACACACTTTTACGTAGCCGTCACGCACGATCACGGTTCATTTCTATCCTTTTCTATTTTTGATTCCCGTTCTATTCGGTCGCGCATTTCTTTTCTTCTTATTTGAGAATGTAGGAAGGAAGGAAAGAAAGAAAGAAGGATCGGTGGGAAGGGCAAGAGGAAGGGAAGGTTCTCGCGTGGAAATTGGCGCGAATCCGACGGAGCGTGTCGCGTACGGTAGCTCAGATCTCTACGGTAGTTTCTAATTTACCGCGCTCGATCGTGACGAGATATGCTCGGACAAGGATGCAACCATTCTTCTTTAGATCTTCTCCTTATTTTTTACTTCTCTTTCTTTCTTTCTCTCTCTCTCTCTCTCTCTCAACCCCCTTTCTCTTCTCTCCTTTTTTATTTTTATGTTTTTTTTTTTTGGCAACTTTCTTTCCATTTCAAACAATATTTTCTATAACGCGTTTGTATCATTTCAATTTTTAAAACATCTCTTTTAACTGTTTCTTCTGTTTTTTTTTTTAATTTCTTCATCGTCGCACGATCCACATCAGAGATCTCTCTAAATTTGTTCTTATATATTTTCTTTAATCTTCTAATAATACGTTTTTCTAAGATATGTTTTATATACAACTTTCATATATATATATATATATATATATATTTTTGTTTTACTTTTTATTCTATATTATTTCCAGATATATTTTCCTTTCTCTCTTCATTCCATCTCCTTTTTTTTGTTCTTCTTATTAATCATCTCCCTTTTTTTAAACTATGGATTTTAATTATCAAATTTAGAGTTCATCTTTCTTTTTAATACTAATACTCAATGTTCATTTCTTTTTGTCTTTTATTTTCTTTTGATTTTATTCAATTATCAATTTCACATTAACTCTTCCAAGATTATAATTAATATATCGATTATAATTTCTTTCGAAATATAATTGAATGTTGTTGTTGTTGTTGTTTGTTTGTTTACAACATCATCGTGTGATCATTTTTCAGCACACTTTTCTTATTACCATCATCATTTCTTGATTCTTTCTGTTGATCTGTCTGACACCGACCGGAAGCATCCCGGTTAGGCACTTTTCACTCATGTCACGTGTCTCCCGACGCGGGATCGCGCAACGCGTTGCTCCGAGCAAAGCCTCGTGGCCATCGGCCGTCGAGAAACAACGTTGAAACTTCTGATGACAACGACATGCCAACGAGAAGAAAAAAAAAAAATAGATCATCATCGGACCCACCTTCTAACATTTTTCCTCGTGTCATCATCATCATTATCTTCTTATTTAAAATAGTCCTTCCACTGCCACTATCAACACTATCATCCCCCCATCCCTTCCGGTTCCACCAAAAAAAAAAGAAATTAAATTAATTGGACATCGAGATTAAAGGAAGAATCTTTTGTCAAAATATTTTTTGTGTCGTTACTATTCTTGAAAAAAAAAAAAAAAGAAAAGAAAAGAAATAGATAGAAACGAACGATTAGTGAAACATCACGTCGGTGATACGAAGAATAAATTTCAAATATTTATATGCGTATATAATATTATATTCGTATATGTGTGTTATGCGAATAAAAACGTTGGAAACTTGTTCACCCACTTGAAAAAAAAGAAAAACAAACCAAACAAATATTTCGTAGTCGACGTGAACCAAATTATAGGAGACGATTTTTGATCCTCTTCTTTATTTATTCCTCTTGATTGTTGTTCTTCTGTAATCCTGAAGTAACTTCATTCACCAATGATGATTTCTTTCAATATTCACGTGTCCGTACAATTTTTCCTATTTTCTCTATCGTAGCACGTAAACGTGCGTGTTTTTCATACACACTTTTTTCTCTCTCTCTTTCTTTCTCTCTCTCTCTCTCATTCTTTCTTTTTTTCTTTCTTTCCTTTTTTTTCCCGTATTTGTCTGTCTCTTCGAATAATAATCGTAGAATTTCTTTCTTTCTCGTTTCTTCTTAGTCAGACGTAATTCACGAATGATTTTTTTCCTATTTCACTGGATTTTCTTCATAGAAAAGAAAAATTCGCGAAAGAAAAAACTAGATATGCGATAAAAATGAATAGCTATAAATTATCATTTAATAATCGTCAATGTTGTCATCGATTTAATTTTTTCTTCTTTTTTTTTTGGACAATTCGATGACAATTTTCTTTCTCTTTCTTTCTTTCTTTATATTATTTTTGTTTGTTTCACTGAACGAAGAAAAACCTTTTTCCCGTAAATCACCAAATTTCATTATCGTTTTCCACGTATTGTTAAATTGTCGTGATTATGATAAACACAAAGGATTTAATGAAATATCATCGATGATAGACGATATTAGTAGCAGTAGTAGTAATAACAATAACAACAACAACAATAACAACAACAATAACAACAACAACAAAAACAATTACGACGACGACGAAGACGAAGACGACGACAATATTTGACGATGTTGTACACGAGGAAAGATAAGAGAGACAACGCGAATAATACAAGGAAAAAAATGAACTAACTTTAAGAAAAAGAAAAGAATGAGAAAAAAAAGGGTGTATAAAAACAAAAGGTGAAAAGAATAATCATCAACGATGATATATACACGCGCGCGCGCGACGGACATGGTTAGTAAACCAATCTGACAACAAAATTGTTCTCTCTCTCTCTCTCTCTCTCTCTCTTTCTCTTTATCTTCTACACAGTTATACGTCAGTATAACAAATTTTATTCCCCATAAAAAACAAAACAAAATAAATTCCCCAAAACAATCGAAAAATTGTCTTCCTTCATTTTTCTTATCATTTCCATAATGCACTCAATTTTTCCGTATGGCTCGTACATTTCTCCACTTATTCGTCGTCGTCGTCGTCGTCGTCGTTGGTCGTGTGGTTGATAATCATCGTTGGTATAAAACTTAACTTTGTTTTCGCGACCGATGGCACCCCCGTTAGCTTGACAAAACGTTTACTATTCATATTTAACGCGTATACATAATAAATGTTACATTACGAATTTTATCATCGTGATAACAATAAATATTTCATTGAAATAACGAAAAGTAATCGTTCCCATCGTTCAAATTATATTCAATCGTGAAATTAATTTGCGTAAGAAAAAAAAAAAAAAGAAAGAAAATAAAAGAAAACGAACGAACAAAAGAGTGTGAGAGAGAGAGAGAGAGAGAGAGAGAGAGAGAGAGAGAGGAGAAAAAAAAAGGAATAAGAGAAGAATTAGACGAAAAAAAAAGCCGCGATGATAAAAATTCGCGAAGAACGTGTTTTCGATATGTATATTATAATAATTGTTTAACGATGACGAAGAGAAAATAAAGAACCACCATAAGAAAAGAAAAGAAAAGAATAGAAATGAAAATGAAAATGAATGATAAAAAGTAATATATAAGTAAAATAAAGTAAAGTAAAATAAAGTAAAGTAAAATAACGCAAAATAGAGAATAAATTCGAAAGGCAAAAATAATAGGAAAGAAATAAAGAAATAAAGAAAAAGAAAAAGAAATAAAAAGAAAGAAAATGTAAAAGTAAAAAGGGAAGTAGTAGAATACAAAATAATGATTAAAATTCGTTAAAATAACGTAGCCTCGCATGATAAATATTTACCTTGCTACATGTAAAACGAATAGAAGAGCCTGCCTGAATCGAACGAAGGAAGGCTCAACCGGCCCACTGTGACGTCGCCGGCCTACTGTCAGCTCAGCGCTCGCTCGGCCCCGCGGTCAACTAACCTACCGTGCCCGCCGCGCACACTTTACCGACATAACACATCGATCTTATTAAGATTAACGTTCAATTAACTTAAACAATATTATTATTATTATTATTAACAATCACGATTTTATATGATTAATTATTATAACCTTGGTTAAGATTTAATTATAATCGTACAAGTAGTAACAGTCGCCAACTTGACTAACGTAGTAGTCAGGTGTGAAACGCTCACGCGCATAGGCGCACACGCGCACAACCACCACGCACACTCTTCTTTAGGAGGGAGTGAGAGAGACTTAGTGGTGTAGGGGAGGGGGGAATAGAGAGAGGGAACGCGAAGCTCGCGGATCCTTCTTTCTCTCTCTTTCTCGTTCACTTACGTTTACGTTTACGTTCTCGCTCGCTCTTACCGTATACCCCTACTTCGTTCTCTCTCCTCTCTCTTTCTCTCTCTCACTCCTTCACTCTTTCCCGCTCTCTCGAGCGAGCGATTCGTCGAGCCGCACGGTGGTCCACTTCGATGCAACGCGCAAAAAAAAATACGAGAGGAAGTGAAAAAGAAGAGAGAAAAAAAAATAATAATAATAATAAAAAAAAAAAAAGAAAAAAGAATAGAAAGAAAAAACGAAGAAGAAAAAAAAGAAAAGCAAAGGAAGGAAGGGCTAGGCTAGCGTAAATGCGTCGTCCTACGCACTATAACTTTACACTCTCTTTTGCTTTCAAAATCAAAGTTCTTCTGCTCTTCTTCCTTCTCCCTCCCCCACACCCTTCTCGCCAATGGTCACCTTCTCTCCTCTTGCCCCTGCCCATTGTAGTTCTCACTCTCTCTCTCTATCTCTCTTTCTTTTTGCGAAATTGTTTGTACAAATTTGAATAAGTCGTTAAGATTGAATTAATTAATATAAATGATTGAGTATTTTATTTAAATTCTGGGGTTAATGTATATGTTAGTTTTCTTGGTACGATTCTAAGTTTACTTGTAAAAGAAAATGGCTTTCCTAGGATCGCTGAGTACGCAGTTCAAGAAAGAAAGAGAAAGAAAGAGAGAAAGAGAAAGAGAGAGAGAGAGAGAGAGAGAGAGAGAAAGAGAGAGATGGGAGAGAAACGATCGATCGAGGATGATCTATATCTACTGAAAATTACAAAACGACACCACGAGTACGCGTCGCATGATGCGCCGTGCGTCTGACTTTCGAAGTAGAAAAGCTCTAAACGCGTACGACCAGGTGGCATCTATGCTCGTCCAACTAAACTATATGTAATTTTATCTATTTGCGATACGTCTCTTCATACACATATGTGTATATATCAATATACGTAGGCATTTGAATAGTTTTATCTATTTGTGATATGCGTTTTGATGCACATAAATATATTTACATTCGTGTAATTTATACTCACAAATATTTGTTTGTACGTTATAAATTAATGAATATTACATCTACATGATGTATACGCTCGCACATATAATATATCTATATATATGAGTGTAGATTATATGTTAATTAATATTACATATCCTCATATGTATACATATACCTATATACGTGTATACGCACAAACAAACATATGTATGCTTATTATAATTATTGAATATTATATACATTTATGTATATAGTATATAAGCAAGATACATATATATTTAGTCATATATCATAGTTTAGCAAAAATTATATATTTATCATCATATGTACACATATATAAACATTTCTATATAATATATACATGTATTTATACTTTTATCTATTTAATATACATGGTTCAAATATATACATATATATATATATATATATAGTATACATATACGCAAAGCATATGTGTATGCCTATTATAATTATTCAATATTACACACATATATCTATACAATGTATAATCACATACATATATAATACATCAAATTAATGTGTAACTATACACAAACGCACACATATAGACCTATATTATAGGTTAGAGATGCGTCTTCATTTATACATATACATATATTTTACATAAATTAATATGCACGTATAAACACACACACACACACGTGTGTAGATTTATATTATAGGTTGGTGAACATTACGTACACATATACACATACATACATAAATACATACATATATAAATATACATATGCAAAGATGTGAGAGTCGTGTATGATGCGAAATACTTGACGTATATCTTTATCTCTATCTTTCTTTATAAAATATATATATGTGTGTGGATATATATACATATGTGTATATATAAAATATATGTATAGATTCTTAGGTAACATCGAATCGTGGTATACTGTTGGAATTACATAGGATCGACATCGTTCTAACATAAGCTCTCTTCTTCTTCTTCATCTTCATCATCTTCTTCTTCTTCTTCTTTTGGACGCAACGATGACGATGACGTGCAGATTAATGCGCGCGCGTGGATGCACGCGTGCGCGCGTGATTTATCATACTTCGAGAATTATATACCAGTTCTTTTATATTATTATTACCAACGATGGCATTCATCTTCTCGTAGTTTACTTCTTCTTACGAATTCTCATCGTTGTACTGTGTGTCGCTGTTAATACCACACTCCTGAAAATAGATAATTATTTTTGTTCTCTCTCTCTCTCTCTTCTTTATTTTTTTTTTCTTCTTTTTTTTTTTTTTTCCTTGAATAATTTAATCATCTTGTTTCTTCTTCTTTTTCATGTATTTTTATTTCTATTTCGTTACATCATATCGGATTAAGTATTCGTTTTGTTTATGGTTAGTGTTTTATCTTTTTCTTGATAATATATTTAAAAAGAGAGAGAGAGATAGATAAATAGATAGATAAATAGATAGMGAGAGAGAGAGAGAGAGAGAGAGAGAGAGAGAGAGAGAGAAGGAAAGGATGAATTGATTAATAAAAATGTTGTTTTTTAAGTGATATTAAGTACTTTTTAATTATGTGCTTATCTAATTACGTGTGGATGATAAGAGATAAAGAGAATTTAATACAGTATTATAATTTATACAATTTATTTATGTAATACGCGTATATGTGTTGTTATTTGCGTCAAATTATGCGTTGATAAAATGTGATACGGAACTATTACAAAGAATTATCATTTTTACATGTATAAGCGTAATCTAATGCAATAATTATTTGCCGATAAGACGAGATACGAAGTTAAATACAAAATTACTATTTAAAAGGAAAAAAATATATTATTTTTAGGCAAATATTGTGTAAATATAAAAATGAAATAATAAAAAATATTGAGAGAATTACGAGAAGTAAGAATAAAATGACGTAAAATCGTAAAGTAAGAAATATTCGCATATTCGTCGTGTTCGCAGTGTTCTAAGTTAAACAATACAAGAAGAAGCATCATTGATGCATCTCTCTCTTTCTTTCTTTTATCTTTGCCGATTGTGAACAAACTTTTGATCTTGAGTGTGTTTGAATAAGATAGATTAGAGAAAACGATTAGAGAAAATCATCATTCTAACGATTAATGAATTAGAAATATTTGCATAGTTTCTTGGATAGATCCTATCGATTTATAAATATTTATAAATATATTGCATATAAAATTGTATATATTTTAAAATGATTTCAAATTAAATTTAATATTAAAATATTAAAATTGTTGCATTCCAATTTTTTTCATAAAAATTTACCACGAATTATTACGCGAATATTAATAATAAAAATATTCTTAATTATATTTTTAACCTTACAACCAAAGAGTGACAATAACAACATTATTATTATTATTTATTATCCAACTCCATTTCTCGAAAAAAATGAAATTAATACTAATTACAATATTAACAAATTTCATTGCGCACAAATTATACAATCCAACTATTACGATTTTCCTTTAAAAATAAAATCCAAACAACTATTCGAACGATCGAAATAAGAAAATCGATTTGGATGGATTAAAAATCAGAAACAAATTGTGTTCGAACAAAAAAGAACAATCATTATTAAAAATACTATAATAATTAAAAGAAAATAGATTGTGTAATACTTATTGAATTAATTTTATCTTTTATTTAAATAATTATTATATATCATAAAAAAAAAAATTGTTGAAGTACATGTAACGTTAATATGAAAATAAGAAAATAAGAAATATAATGTTAGAGTTCTTGGCAAAAGATCCTTGCGATTTGTTTAAATGATCTTCATCGGAGCGCAAAATTCAACGGAAAATCCTTTCCAATCTCGTAATGCTAACTAACTAACTAACTAACTAACTTGGCTGACCATCGTCGTCGTAGTTGTTTGTGTGTACTCGCGTGCAGATCGATTCGACGCGTTAACGCGCGTGATTCCGCGCTTTTTATTATCCACCTTTCTCGTTCCTTTAGTTTTAACTTTTATATCTCACTCGTACCAATTTTATAAATATAAATATATATCCATATATATACATATTTTTTTATATAAATATACATATACAGGGTGATTCACTAATTCTTGCCACCAAGGATAACTTCGAAAGTATGATAGTAGTAGAAAAGTTTATAGAATAAAAGTTGCATGAAAAATTTGAGAGTATAATATGAGATTATTTTTTTTTTTTTTACTAGATTTAATCGCTTCTGAGATTTAAAGGACAAGTTTGTTTCGTTAAATGAAATGCTATGGTTAGGTACTTATATTTTGATAGCAGCTGTCATGGCGAATCCAACGACGTGCAATATTAGTGAAAAATTAGTTAATCACACTCTGTATATATATACTTTAATACAAAAGTTTTGTGCTTAAAACAAATATTTTAATTATTAGCCAAATAAATGTATTCATATATCACATTTTTTTTATGTTGCAATCGTACGAAATAATATCGTAGAAAATTACAAGGCCTAATAAGAAAACTAAAAAGATGAATACTTGAAAAGAGAGTAATTAATTTTTTCAAATCAATCAGAATATTTAGGTTAATCCATTATTAATCATATGAAGTAATCTGTTATATAATTACAAGCGTAATTACAAGATTGAAAAATGACTCTAATAAGGAGTATAATTAATTTTTTTAAATCGTTTAGATATCTTATGTTAATCTTACATTCGTTAAATAAAAAAAGAAAAGAGTAATAATTAC